GTTTTGTACCTATGTTATTTGCTTATTATTTCTTGCCTATGTCTTGTAATATGAGAAACTACTTTGGCAATAACAACACACAATGTACTAACCATTGTTACCCTCCTAAAATCTTGTTTTGAGATTTTGTACCACTGTTTTTATTTTTTTTCTTTCTTTAAAATAAAAATAACTCATGTCAAAAAATAAATAAATAAAAAATTTTAGCTATGCAAAAAAAAAAAATCAATGGGCCTGCCAAATAACTCAGTGGATTAAAGCATGTGCACACAGGCGCAGGGGCCAGGGGTTCAATCCCTGGGCCTGCTGTGCTGGCCTCACCCCTGGGACACGCTGAGACAGCAATTGAGACTGGGTATGGTGGCACACGCATGTAATCCCAGCACTTGGGAGGCTGTAAACAGGAGAATCACTATGAGTCTGATCTAGTAGTGAGACCCTGAACACCCTGTAGACCCTTCCCTAAAATACAGAAAAACTAACTAAATAAAAATTATTATTATTTTTAAAGAGAATAAAGACACTAAAAAATAGAAATGATACAGAATTTCATTGAACATGATGATAGGAATTCAACAATGGTTGTTATATTGCATATTGTTATGCTATTCACCTCCTTGGAATCTTCCACAAAGAATTAAAAGCATTACACCCCAGCAATGTATGCACAAACATGTTTGTAGCAGTATAGTTTATAAGAGATAAATCTTGCAAACAGCTCAAATGTCCATCAATTGATGAATGGATAAAGAAAATGTTTTTTTAAAAAATACAATGTAGTACTACTCAGCCATAAAGCAGGATAAACTTGAGGTATTTATAGGTAAATGGATGTACCATGAGACCATACTCTTCTATGTATAAATTAAAAATGCATGTATCAATACCACATTGTTTCTCCACTGTGAGAAACTGAAATAGTAAATAAAGGCCAGAATTTGTACTAGATATTATGGAGTAGGAAGAAAGTCCTAAACTTGGAAGGGGAATAAAGGAGGAAGGAGGAGGAAAAGAAAGAAGGAAAAGGAAGGAGAAAGAAGAAAAAACTGGAAACAAAGCTTTTGTAAATAAGAAGAGAGGTTAAGGGGAGCATAACAGAATGGAGAAATAAAGAGGAATTGAGGTAAGGCATGTACAGCTTCAAAGTCCCTAAGATAAAGTGATTAGTCTGTGTATTTAAAACGTACCAATAAGCTTAATTAATAAAGAATGGGATTAGTGTCCTTCCATGAAAGGACAGAAAAGAGATTATTTATCCCTCTGTCATGTGAGGGCATTTGGAAGCGAGGGCGGGGTGTCTGAAAAACCACAAATTGGAATCTTGACCTTAAACTTCTTAGTCTCTGGAACTGTGAGGAGTAACTGTCAGTTGCTTAAGTCACCTAGTCTATGAAATGTTGTTATAGCAGTCTGAGCTAACCCAGACAAAGGTCATCTAATTCACCTTCCTCTCTCATTCAATCTTAAATAGGTTGCACAGTTTTTCAGTTCATATTCTCTTGCCTCAGATTGAAATTCTTTTATGAGAGGGAAAAGCCTTTTGCTTCTGGCTAGAAGCTGTCAGTACACATTCTTTGACCTTTGGTATTGTCATAGGTATATAGCATTTGATGAGTTTTTACTATCAGTGGAAACTAGACATAAAGACACCTACCTAGACGTCCTTTCTTTTGCATTCTTCTTTTTTTTCTCTTCTCTTTAATCCATTGTAGGGGGAAGGACAAAGAAGTGTATAGGTTCTATTGTATATGAAAGAGGATAGGTCTGAAATTTATGTGCTTCACACTGAGAAAAACATGAACCAGGTAGTGATCCATTCCCCACAAGAATCCTTAGTCTTGGGAGGGAAGGTAAAATTCTCAATGAAGATATGTTTCTCCTGGTTCACCTGCCTCTGAAATAATCTTTGAATCTTTTGAGGAAAATGAGGTGGAAGAGAAGGGATATCTTTAGAACCACAACAAAAAACAGAAGATAACAAAATCTTGTAGGACATCGCACAAAAGAAGCCTGCTTGCCTGTGCCTCTAACAAAGGGTAACACAAAGGAAAGAGAGACATTCTTTGCTACATATGTGGTGTGATCAAATTGTATAGTGAATGTGTAAGAATTTATTACAATAAAAGATACATTTCCATTGATTCCCCTCAAAATACTTCCTCTCACCTTAGACACATTTATCTCAAGGGTTATTTGCTTAAGCAGTTTTGGAAGTCCTCTTTCATAAGTGTCTTTATAAGGTGTGATCAAATGGAAAGACATCCATTGGAAAGGTAGGCTTATAAAAACATTGTGGTATGTCACTCACTTTACTCACCATACTGGCAATGCATGACCTCTTGGTTCTTACCCAAAGTAAAGATGATCATGGAAGGAAACTGTTTTGAATTCAATTGGGACATCTAAGCAGCCAGTGAAGTAAAGAAGTAAAGAAACTCATGAAAGAGAACTTCCAGCACTGCTTCAGAAAGTGGCCATGGTAATGGGGTAAGTGTATTTGAAGCAAGGAGGCTGATAACAGTACAAGACCTGGCTTTGGCATCTCAGTGTTTCCAGTGACTCAGCTGTAGAAACAGATAGCAATGTACAGTGGGCACAAGTTACTTAGCACAAGTATCAAGACACCCAGAAAAAGGCAGTGGTAGCAACTCTTGACAATACGTAGACATCACATAGAGATTCTTATGTTAATAAGGGGTCTTTTGTTAAGGGCTATGGTCCAAGTAAGAGATAAAGGCAAGAACTGATAACGTTTGGGGTATGATTGGTAGTGTGATGTTTTATGCACCTGAAGTTTAGTAAGGCCTAGGGAAGCTCAGGGTGCACACAGTTCTGGGAAAAATCCTTGGACCAAGGCAGATACTCCACTTCCAGAGAGCCCAGAACAAGGTCACATGGCCTCAAGCTCACATGGTCTCATAAAGATACCCTTTAAAAGTCTTATAAAGACCTTTAAAATATAATACAAGGAGGTAAATCTTGCCACAAAGTCATGTGGTATCCTGTACCATCATTATTGTGAATTAGCCGCTTGATTGCCAACCATTACCTCAACATGCACACAATGCAACAGCAAATGGGTCAGTGTACTTGGAGGCCAGCTTGATCACAAGGGAGACAAAGCTATTAAGGCGATGTTAGGGTGAGTTATTGAAGAGGACACATGCATTAATGTTGCAAAATGGGTCATTGGGATAGCTTCTTATATGACGGCTCAGAAGGAAAAGTAGGATTCCAGGTCTCTGCATGGAGGTAATCAGTGCTTGTTATTGTCTGCTGCAGTTAGACTGAAGCAGGGCCTGTCAGTGAGATGCATGTGGACACAGTGCTGGAGAAGGTTGGAGAGGAGGACAAGGCCAGGAAGCACTGCTGTCAGGATCAGCACTGTGGTGGGCAGAAGCAGCTGTATTTGGGTGGTAGGAATGGGAGCGGCAGGAACAGAGGTTTGTGAGGGGGGTGTGCATCCTGCACTGACAGAACTCACTAGCCCAGCTGGCTGGCTGGCCCTGGAAAGTGGACCTTCGGGAGCAACTAGAGGAAGAGCAAAGGGAAGGGGGGGCTCCTGGGGCCAGAATCACTCAACCATGGCACATTTACTGTGGATAATTTCTTGTAGAAAATGTGCACCAAGGTCACAGACTGACTACAACTCCAAGTTCTTTTTTGTTTGTTATGTTTCAAATTCTTCATTTCCTGATATTGATCAGAAAAAGTCAGGCAGCACTAATCAGGTGGCCTCCCTCATTTCTCCTTAGGTTCATTCTGCTGAATCCCAGCCTCACAGGAATTGCAAGGAGCCTCAACTCTCCCCTGCTGCTTTTTTCTCCCTCAGCCCTCAGAATGCACAGTAGGAAGCCATTTTCTTCCCTTATTTCCATGGCAGAAGAATGGAAGGGTAATCACAAAAGACCACCTTTGTTGATGGCTTTCCATGAGCAGGGTACATGCAACAATCTTGTGGTATAGGAATGAATATTGGAGTCATTTTGCAGACAAGGGCCCTGAAAGTCACTCACTCTGGATTATTTCCTACCCAGTACTGATAATGAACTCTGATCATTTTTACATTTGTACCTTTGTCTGTCTCCCCCTGCAGATTGTACATTCTTTTTTTCAATAATTTTATTGAGAAACAGATAGCAATGAGACATTTTCAAAACTGATTAGTAGGACAGTTTCAATAATTAATATATTGCATATTATTGTCTTAGTGGTTATTCATTGTACAAGATGCAGACATGATACCCTGTCCACAAACACTATTAGAACAAATCTTTCTATTCATTGAATTAAGAAAATATAGCTGTATATCTATCCTAACTATTTTGAATATACAGATACAAAATGGTTGTTCATTTGTATTCCCTTTTTTGTTTAGTTTTGTCAGAGAAGGGTATTCCATTGTCATTTAAATATTGTAGGTGCATGAATTCAGCCAAATATACCAATATATTCCAGTAGTTCATAATAGTAGTGGGTTTTCCACAGGACTGGCAATGTCAGAAGACTTGAGCCTTTTACAGCTCAGCATATTCATTTGGCTTTACTTTTTATACTTCGTTTTTATATGTACATTCTAGGTGACAGGACTTTTGTCTGTTGTATATACTGCTGTACATGTCTAGTGCCTGAAGTTATGTGAGGTACATCACAGAGTCTCACTAGCTTGTACCTTCTTTTAGGTTTTGATTTTTACTCTACTTACAAGCTGATAACAAGGCCTGTGTCATAACTGTTGGAAGGAAACACAAAACTCTTGCATTAGAGACAACAGACTGAATTCTTCACAGCACAATAAGCAGCAGGAGTAATAGCATGTGGTAACAGAGGGACCTACATGCATGCTTTGCATGGAGTCTGTTTATGCTACAACTGAAAGACACAGCACTGGGCT